AGCACAACCTCTTGAGCTTCAATGGCACGGATTGCGGCCACTCTCTGATGCTGCGATGCACCCCTCAATAAACAGAAAACATAGGCCCGGCCCGCCCTGACACGCTCTGGCTCTGGGACGAAGTGCCGCCGTGGCCGTCGGCCGCAGACCCGCCCCCAGACCTCTGCGGGACCGGTGTTCCTCCAGTCCGTGGACCCCAGGAACGTCCGACCTCCTCTCCGCGGGAGGCCTCTCGCCGCAAATCGACCGCTTTCAAACAGGAACAAAACGGACTTGTTCCTAACGGCGGCGTGTCTTTGGGCGTATACACCGCTCCTGGGCCCAGGATGGGCCTGGCCAGGGGCGGCGGATATACAAGGATCTCGTCGCCAGCTCTCTCGTGGCCCCAAGCCCCCCCCAACAAAAAACGCCGCCGCCGAGGCCGAAACTCATGGACTGAAGGCCGCCGGGGCCGGAGCGGCCCCGCCGGAGGTCTGGGGCCTGCGGAGGCGGCCCTCGCGCCGCTCACGCGCGGACGGCCCGGCCCCAGCGCGCGCCCCAGCGCCTTCTGGAAAGCGCACGCGCGTGCGGGGGGGGGGGCGGCAAGACGCACGGGAGGGCGGGAGGGCGGGAGGAGAAGGAGGACGACGACGTCGGAGAACGAGAACGAGGACGAGAACGAAAACGAGCGACGCGGCGTAGTCCGTCAAATAAGCTGGCCTCTTCCCTGGTGAGCGATGTTTTCCCTCCGGGGTAACGGTCGTTACCCGGGGGGGAGGCTCGGGCAGGAGGGTAATGGTAACGGCGGCCGCGGCGTGCACCCACCAGGGTGCGTCCGCGCCACCGGCACATCAATGGCCCGTGTGCATCACAATCTCTGCGAACGCGACACTGCCCAATGCCTGCGTGCAACACACCGCCGCCTGTGTACACCGCAGTGCCTCCGTACCCCACAACAGCCGCGTGCACCGCAGCACCATGTCGCCCATGTGCATCGCAATGCCTGAGTAAACTGCAGCAACCGTGTGCGCAGCAACGCCTGCGTACACCTCGTTGCCTGCGTGCACCGAGCGCTTGTGCACACCACAGCGCCTGTGCACACTACAGCAATCATGTACTGCAGCGCCTACGCACGCCACAATGCCTCCGTGCACCACAACGCATGTGTACACCAAAACGCACAATGTGCCAACGAGCACATTCGTAGCTTGAGAGGCATCCTTGCGGGGCTCGCCTCAGACCACGCAGGCCTTCAGGACTCGTCATTCATCTCATCCTCCTCCTCTTCCACCTCTTCCTCTTCCTCCTCCTGCATCTAAACCTCCCTGTCCTCTTCCTCTCCTCCTTCAACGGTCCTGGCGGCCTTTGTTGAGGGAGGGGAGTACGAAACGGGGGGAGGAGCAGCAGGATGAGCAAGAGCAGCAACAGGAACAGCAAGAGCCATGGGGTCGAAGGCTAAAGGGTGGAATTGCAAAAAAAGGCTTGTATTGAGGACAAGGGAAGGAGGTAGGAGGGGGGGGGAGAAAAGTATTCGCATTCTGCGTTGTGCTGGGTACGGCAGGTTCGTCTCGCGATGACGCCAGCGTTGGTTTCTGACGCTGCGTGGACTGTTCAATCTTGACCAATCTCTGCTCCTGGAGGACCCTCGAAGCCCTCGACACCATCTTCGATATCGATTTCGCGCCGTGGGCTCGTTTCTGCGGGTCTTGGGGCTCGAAGCGAGCCTCTGCGTCGCGTTCAACCTTGAACGCCCGCCCAGCCGAAAGCCGCTCGACCTCAGTTCCCCACCCAACCGCCCTCCGAGCAGGGCACCTTGGCAGTGAGTCCGCCTGACCTAACGCGCACCGCAATAGCCTGCAAGCGCCACACCATGCACAACACGCATGTGAACACTGGAACATGCCTTTCGGCACCACGCCATGCCTGTGAGCTCGGCGCCGCAGCAGGTGGGATGCCTGCGAGCGCCACAACACGCCTATGAGCATCAAAGCATGCCTTTCAGCACCACGCCATGCCTGTGAGCACAGTCCGCCCCCTAGCATGTAGGGTGGGGCCCAGACCCCCCCGCCCAGTAAGATCGTCAGCGTTACCTTGGGGGGACGGGTAACGAACGTCACGTCGGAAGGACAAAAAATGCTCGCATGACCGCCACGGAGACCGCGAACGAAACGTGACCGACCGCGACGAAAGTGCCATCTTATCTTATCTCTGTAGCGGGGCAGGACTGAGTCTACCAGCAGCACCAAGCTCGCGACGACTGCGCACAAAATACCAGGCCGATGCTGGAGGCAGTGGCACCTTTCACCGTATTTTCAGCAACCGAAGCGCCAAAAAACGTGACGGAATTGCACTTGAGGCCGCCTGAAGGCAACTCCGCGGCAGCGGGCTGTGCTTGCTCTGGCGGGGAGTTCAGATGAGTACCACCATTTTCATGGACGCCACAGGCGCTCAGCCCGCCTCGCAGACAGCCTGAACACGCCAGCGAAGCCCAGCAACAGCTGAATCATGTGTCCCTCTGACGCTAAAGCTAAGAACCGGCCGAGCAGATACATTGAGGTACGCCCAGGGTGGCATGACGTCCTTGTGGCTCCTCCCCTCCCTGGGCGGATGTCGAACACGGTGTTGAGGAAATCACCAAAACACCAATCCGACAAAACAAACTTGATACGACAAAACCGAATGCAAGTATCTTCAGCAACTGTGAAGACAAGAGTGTGTAACAGGCGCACTTTGAAAACACCACAGAGCAATAAGAGGTAACCGCACCAACCAAAGCCAAAACAATGTATGCGCTTGGAGCTCTGGTTGACAGCCTGCTCAGCAATATGCCCGTGTTCGCCACCAGGAAAAGAAACCCGACCAGTGCGCCACCACCGAATGCAACGCCGTTGTCGGAACACCCCAACTGAAATCTCTTATCAAGGGACTTTTTCCCGCGGCTGGGACACCCCGCTCAGCGTCGGGAGCGCCCAAATGGATTTTCCCCCCCGGAACTGTTCCAGGATGAAAATCCATCCGGACCGCCCCCGTTGCAAAAAAAACGCTTTCGGGGAGAACGGAAAGGGTATACCCGCGCCCCAAAAGCCGCAATGTGCCAAATGATTTGTTTTGGGTTTCTTTTTCCTCGCGACAGGGCCCCCTCGCCCAGTCTCAATAGCGCCCTCGATGGATTTTCACCCCGGAGCCGTTCCAGGGGGAAAATCCATCTAGGACCGCCCCCCAGCGCAGAGCAACGCTGTCGGGACCACGGAAAAACGAAAACCCGAAACAACAAAAAACACAAACAACTCAAAACAATCCGACGGCGAAAACCCCTGACAAGCAGAAAACCAGAAAACAAGAAACTGGAAACAAAAACACAAAACAAGTCAAGACACCCCGAAACCGAAGCTCGAAACCACAAGCCCGAAAACTGAAACCCGAAACAATCAAATAACAATTCAACCAAAAAAGAGAACCAGAAAACCCCACGAAAATCTGAAACACACAAACCCGAAACAAAACAAAGACACCAGAAACTTCGGTTTCGGATTGTTTCGAGTTTCATTGCTTCGGGTTTCGGCTGTCGGGCTTTCGTTGTCGAACTTTGGGGTCTCGTTTTTGGGCTGCGATTGTCGGGCTTCTGGTTTCGGGTTTCGGTTGTCTGGCTCGGTTTTCGGGCTTCGGGCTTCGGTGTTCGGGGCTCGATTTCTGGAGCCCCGCGAAGGCCCCGCGAATTAAGTCCAGAATTGATCCGCGGGCGGGACGGCAGGGGTGCGCGCGCAATAATTGTGCGCTCCTTTCTCTGTCCACACATTTTCCCGTCCCGCCACCGTGGGCCCAGCGAATTAACTCCGGAATTAATCCACGGGGGAGGAGTGGATCAGGGCGCCGCCGTGGGCCCCGCGAGTTAACTCCGGAGTTGATCCACAGGGGAAGAATGGATCAGGGCGCCGCCCTTGGCCCCGTGAATTAACTCCGGAATGCATTCACGGGGGAGGGATGGATCAGGGCGCCGCCCTGGTCCCCGTGAGTTGACTCCGGAATTGATCCACGTGGGAGGCGTGGATGAGGGCGCCGCCCTGGGCCCCGTGAGTTCACTCAGGAGTTCATCCACTGGGGAAGGGGGGTGGGTCAGGGCGCCGCCTTGGGCCCCGTGAGTGGACTCTGGAGTTGATCCACGTGGGAGGGGTGGGGCAGGGTGCCACCCCAGGCCCCGTGAATTCACTCAGGAAATCATCCACTGGGGAGGGGTGGTGGATCAGGGCGCCACCCTGGGCCCCGCGAGTTAACTCCAGAATTAATTCGCGGAGACCAGAGGCCGCCTGGGGCGCCGCCATGCGGCCTCTCAAGAGCCCTCCGGGAGGCCTTTGACAGGCGCCGCCCTGGGCCCCGTGAGTTAACCCTAGAGCTAATACACAGGGAAGGGGTGGATCAGGCGCCGCCCTGGGCCCCGTGAATTAACTCCGGAGCGAATTCACGGGGGGGGGGGTCAGGGCGCCGCCCCGGGCTCCGCGAATGAATTCCAGATTCAATCCACGGGGGAGGGGTGGATCAGAGGCCGCCTCTGAGAAGCGTCGCCCTGGGCCTCGTGGGTGACTCTGGAGCTGATCCACGGGCGAGGGGCGGATCAGGGCGCCGCCCTGGGCCCCGCGAATTAACCCCAAAGTTCATCCACGGGGGGGGATCAGGGCGCCGCCCTGGGCCCTGCGAATTAACTCCGGAGTTAACCCACGAAGAAAGGGGCGTGGATCAGGGCGCCGCCTGGGGCGCCTCATTGCGGCCTCTCAGAGGCCCTCCAGGAGGCCTTTGAGTGGCGCCGCCCCGGGACCCGCGAACTAACTCCCGAGTTGATCCACGAGGGAGCGGTGGATCAGAGGCCGCCCCGGGCCCGGTGCATTTACAGGGCCCAGGGCGGCGCCTCGCAGAGGCCTCCTGGAGGGCCCCTGAGAAGCCGCCCGGGGGCGCCCCGGGCGGCCCCTGATCCGCCCCTCCCCCGTGGAGTAACTCCGGGGTTACTTCGCGGGGCCCAGGGCAGCGACCTGATCCCGCGGCGGGCGCTGGCGGCGGCGCCGAACGTGCTGGGGCGTCGCGCGCGGCGAGGCCGCCTCCGCTGCCGCCGCTGCCGGCGGCCGCCGTGGGCGCCGGCGGCGGCGCCGCCGCGGGGGCAAGGTTGCCGCCGCGGCTCGCGTCCGCGGCGGGCGCTAGCGGCGGCGCCGCCTTGGATGCTGAACCGTCGGCGGCGAAGTCAACGCCGCTGCTGGCGGCCGCGGCGGGCGCTGGCGGCTGCGCCGATGCTACGCCGCGATATTCGGCGAGGCCGCCGCCGCTGCCGCCGCTGCTGGCGGCCGCGGCGGGCGCCGGCGGCGGCGCCGCCTCGGGGGCGAGGTTGCCGCCGCTGCCGGCGGCCGCTGGGGGCGCGGGCGGGCCCGCCGCCGCGTCGGCCGCCGCGGCGACGAGGGCGGGCGGGCCCGCCGCCGAGTCGGGCGCCTGGGCGACTGGGGCGGGCGGCCCCGTCGGCGCCGAGGCTGGCGCCCTGGCGCCACGCCGCGCTCCGCGGCGCTTCGGCCCCGCGCGGCAGCCTCGGGCGAGGGCGCGGGGGGGGCGCGGGGGGCGGGGTGGGAAGGAGGGGGAGGGGGGGGGGGGGGGGGCAACGAAGGCAATTGGGCAGGGGGGTAAAGGGAGCGGGAGAGGCGGGGGGCGGTGGAAGGGAGGGGCGGGGGGGGCGGGGCGAGACTGGCGAGCAGGAGCGAGGGGGGGAATGCCTGGGGAAGGGGGGGGGGGTGGTTGAAGGGGCGGCAGGGGTTGGAAGCAGAGCACAGAGCATCACCTTAAAACACCCCCTAACCCTACCAACCCATAGCACCCTATCACCCGAACCCCAACGCTGACTCGATCGCCCCCACCCCGCACCCGCCTGCAAAACGCCCGAGCCCTAACCCGAGCGCCCTGGCCTCAACGCCCTAACCCTAACACTCTTATCTGAATGCCCTAACACTTCACCCTTGCCCGACCACCCTAACCCTGAGGCGCCGACCGTGCGCCCCACCACCCTGGCCCTAACGCCGCGCCCCTACCGCCCGCTGTAATTCTAACTCCAACTCTAGCTTCAAATCTACATGTAATTATGACTCTGGCTCTAACATGTTCACTCCAACTCGAACTCGAACTCTAACTCTGACTCTAACTCTAGACCGCCGGGAGGGAGATGAATCCGCGGATAGGAGGGGGGGCGATTGAGACAAGGACGAGGAAGGAGTACGAGGAAGAACGCGAGGAGGCGAGGCTGAAGAGGACGACGAGGAAGAGGAACGCAAGGAGCCCCGCCCCCGCGCCTGGCGGCTGCTGCCGCTCGGGCCCCTGCCGCAACTGCGTGCGCTGCAGCTGCTGCATCTGCGACTGCGTGGCCTGCGTCTGCTGCAGGGTCATGCCGTTGCTGCTGCCGCTGGGCGCCGCAGCCTTCTGATTCGCCTCCTCGGGGGCGGGCGTCGGCGGGGGCGGCGGCGGGGGCGCCTCCGCCGCGGCCACCTCGACGACGATTGGACCCGGCGCGGGGGCAAAGCCGGTCGGCGCGAGCTGGCCCTGCTCGCGCTGACCAGGGGGGCGCTTCGCCTTCCCCTTCTTGGCGAGCCACCCCTCCTGTGGCGGGCGGCGGCGATGCCAGTCGATCATTCTCCTTCTCATCGCCACCCTCCCCGCTCATTCCCCCCGCAAAATTCGCCCCCCTCGCCTTCCCTCGTCTTGGCCAGCCAAAGGCCCCTTGAGGCCCCTAAATCCTGGAAGCTGAAACGCTTCGCAATTTCCATGATGTAGTCGTCCGACCTCGGCGGCGGCGCTGGCTCCATGCAAGACGTATACCGCCTGCGCTCCTGCGTCGTCGTCGTCGTCGCGGTCGTCGTCGTCGTCGTCGTGGTCGCCGCGGTCGTCGTCGCCGTCGCCCTCGCCGTCGTCGCGGTCGTCGTCGTCGCCATCGCCGTCGTCGCCGCCGTCGTCGTCGCCCCGCGGGCAGTTCTTCTCGCGGCGATCGATCGCCACCTTAAGACGCTCGTGCAACTCTGCGCGCGCCTCGACCCGCATATCGGCGATCTCGAGGACGGGCCAGACGCGAGTCGAGCGCCAGATCATGACAGAAAATCCATTGCTGGCGAGCCCAGCGGCGGCGGTCGCACCCCACTCAGAGTCGAGATGCACCAAGGCCTCGCCGGGGCAGGAACGAGGGCGAGGAGGGGCTGGGAAGGGGGGCGGGGGCAGAGGCAGCAGGGGCAGTCGCGAGGGGGGCCAGAAGCTGTTCAGGTGTAGGCTAGCGCTCAAGCCCGCCACGTGCGGGCGCACACATGTGGGTCTGAACAGTTTGCTTTCCATGAGATGATAGCTTCCCCTGGAGAAAAGCTTACTTGATTATGATTGTCAGTGCGTGAATTCAGATACTCACGAGCTTCGCTCACAACATCCTCGCGGGGATCAACGGCGTCTCGGGGTATGTCTTGGGCCACGTGCTGCAGTTCGCGGATCTAGCATTTAGCACTTCAGAGTGTGTTCGTGACGGTGTGGAGAGATCTTCGACTTGGGATTTTGTACCGCAGTCGCGATATACGTGTCAGTTCATGCCTGTGATGCTTATGTTGATCGTGCTTCTTGTGATGTTCATGGTTATCTACTTGACCGTCAGAATCTGCTGGTTTTGCAGATGTGGCGACACGTCCTATATGTTCCGTTCACTCTCTACCCTCCGCGCACGTCTGCTCAAGTTGGTGTGCGAATTATTGTGCTGTCGACGGATGGCCGACCAACGTTTCGCGCGCCTCATCCCGAGCCCTACCTGTTACTCCCAGAAGTGTACGTCCAACAAAATTCTCCATACACAACAGGACGGATTTTGTTGCCCTGGCTACGGTACATAACGACGTCTTCTGTTTGCATTGACTCTGCGCCTGTGTTCTCAGACTTCATCGGCAGATGTTCAGAAGCACAGTGGCCAGACGTTGACAAGATTTCTGGACTCATATACACCTCTTGGGGCTGATGACGCCCCTGGCGGTGTTCTCAATCAACGTTTGCGACGACGGATCCGAATTTTAGGCAGCTGGTGTGAAGATTTTCCTTTGGGACAGACATGTGCGAGTACCCTGAACGCGCCACTTCATCTGTCACAGTTGTGCGTCGGCTCCCTTTGGCACGTCCACAGTGTCTCCGCTCATGATAGAGGCTCTGAAGACTCCCCAGCAGGACATGGCCAACATTCTTAGCAACCCAACCTATGCGTTGGGCACGCCCTTCATGGCTCAGCTGTACTTTGTCACCGCATGTCTGAGCATCCTACGGATACGCCAGCTTTGGACGTCGGTAGACGTCTGCAGCAGAGAGGGCAGCAACTTACACGACCTTAATTGCAGTTACGCGTCTGTTTCAGGGCCTGTGATAAGACCAACCGAGATATGAGCTTATTATACCAGCTTGGGAGCGTGAGTCTATATATTGGACAGGGTCTTGTAGCGCGAACTTCGTCTGTACGATCAGGGGTCCTCAGCCGTTTTCGGGAACACCTAAGGGGCCTCCAGTGTGCTAGGGTTGGCCATCCACATCCTGACCCCCATCGGTATCGTTGCCTACTCCGAGGCTGTGAAACATGGTTGCTCTTTCTGGTAATAGATACTATGCCCGCTGCGCGGGCGCACAGTGTGGAGAGTGCCCGCATTGCGTTCTGCCGCCCACGAGCCAATAACCCTGTAATTCCAGCGTCTGTCCCTCGAGGCCGCGTTTGTCGGCCTGCTGAAGGTGAACCCCTGAGCCCGCCCACGTCGCGACGACGACGCGGACGGGCCTGCCGGCGACGACCCCTGGAGACCCCACCCGAGATGCTCGAACACCGCGATCTGTTTGCCCAGACGCAGCTCGATCGGCTCTGCCAAAGGTTCGCGGGACACCAGAGGTACACTGCTTTTCGGAAGTCTTAGCAACGGACTCTGGGGAAAAGCTTTGGGGGGGTCTACGACCTGTTCCGCTCTCGGGCTCAAGTCAACGGTCTTGGTGGAGGTCCTCTGAACATATATAGCCGTGGGTATGGGCTCCTGCTGGTTCGCTGGGTGGCCGCGCGTCCTGCGCAGATCTCATGGGCCACTGCGTGTGGGCACTGCGACGCGACCAGCGACCATGCGTACGTGTTCTGGCAAATGTGCACGCTCTTACCACACTTTCATGACCGCATGCGGGTCCAAGGCACCATACGTACATACATACATGCACTACGCCTCCCACCTCCAGGCCCCTGGTCTTTACGGTCAATAATGGTTCGCAGCTTGCGCCTGCTCGACAGCGGCTCCGCGAGGTACGTCAACATGTTCGACCCTTTCGACCCGCCTGGTTTCAGCATCTTCGGAAAGCCACCCGTCTCATCGCCCAGCCCGAGCAGACGTTCAACAAGCAGTTTGTGAACTGGGGCAGCTTTTTAAGGATATGGATATTTCACTCTTGGACTCTGTGGATCTAGACGGGCTTCACCAAGCAGCCCGCGGTGAGGACATGTACAGAGCGCAGGCGAATGCACGTACGACTCCTTCTTCTGGGATTGATCCGACCGAGCTTGTCTCCGCCAGTGCAAAGTGGTTGTTTCAGGCTGACGTCGATGTCGCCAGCCTGCCCGCGACCTTGAGGCGCCCGGCCTTGTTTGAAGGCCACGGCGGGGCAGGCTCCGAGTTTGTCGAGACGCAGGCGCCCTTGCTGCCTGGGCCCGAGAAGCTGGCCGCTACGCTGGAACCGCAAGAAGCATCCCTGGCTTGCTCCGTGGAAGATAAGGGCCCCAACGCCCTCTGGTTCTCCAGCCCCACGTTCCAGGTCCTCCGATGGTTATCGATGCTCAGCCGTGCAAAATCCCGATGGAGCCGCTGCCCGCCACCCCTCTCCCACGTCCTCACCTTGTATCGCTTCTTATACGACAGTACTGTACCTAAGAGTCTCCGAGGTCGGTTTCAGGGTAAGTTTACGTGCGACAAGATCCCGTACATCTACTCTACCATCAAGCTAGAGCGTCGGCGTGGAGATGCTGAGTGCCCCCCTGAAGGCCGCCGCCAATGTCGTGATCCCTCGCATTCATGTATGAGAGATATGTAGTTTTTCGGTCTACCCTCACGGCGTCTTTATCGACTGTTCGGTCGTGCACTTCGTTTCTTGTGCGATCTACCCTGGCCAGGATGGAGCTTTGACTCATTGGAAGTTGTAGTGCCGCGTCTGGCCCGTGAGGCGAAAGTTCTGTCACCTCACCCTCCGCTCCTCTTGCTGCTCGCGCTGTGGGCGTGAGATGTCAGGCCCGGGAGTGCTTGTGGCGGACGCTGGACAGGCGTGCGAAGATATGCCCATTCCCCGGATCTGGAATTGCTTGGATCGCCTCTTCCTCCGCTTGGATAAGATTTGAAGTGCCGGACTGTAACCGTGTTTCGTACCCGACGGTCCCATTGTCGTCTTGGTGGGCATTGCGAGGGGCGTCTGTGGGATCGTGTGGTCTTCTACATTAGCAGTGTGAAGAGAGCCCTTACAGGCTTCATGCGTATGCGTTTCTTTAGGCTGGGGAACATATGCATGGAACAAAAGAAGGGGACATCGATATGAGGACCTCTCTCGGGTAACGTATTACATACTGTATTTAGTGAACAAGAGTGGCATTGTGATATGAAATGGAAGAACAGAAAACAAAAACTCTGCACTGGTAGAGGTTTCGACGATGTGTTGTTATTTTCAAGCCTGGATTGTCATACCTGCTTGGGTCTGAGCATGCACGGCGTGTATTCAACATTGAGCCTGAACGAGCTCCTTTGGTGTGCGGTACGGTGGTCGCGTCATATCTCGAAGTTGATTTGCACATATCGTACACAGGCGTACGCGCGCTCATGATACATAAGAATGAGGCTCCCGCAGCCACGGGCGACTCCAAACACTACAAGAAGAAATCGCTCCCACCCCTTCTTGGCCCTCTTTCTGCGCGCGTTCTAGGACAACTCCGAGGTGAGGTTAAAGGTAGGCTACACCGCTGGGGCACTTATGACCTGACTATTGATAATTGGATGGCCCTGATTTGCATTGAAATGTTGCTCTTCTTCCGCCTCGGCTACCACCCCCACCATGTTAAACGTCGATGGGCTGATGCATTCCCTCCTGGGCCCCGTGAAGACCTCGCCCAATGTTTTTTTGTCCATCTACTTTCGAGGACCTGCAAACACCTTGCCCCCGGACGAGAGCATGTGCTGGCTCTATTTGAACAAGATTGCTACAGCCTTGCCCCCGCCCCCGCGCCACCGGCCCCACTGAGCCCATGCTGCAGAATGTCTCCTGGTGGGAAAGGGCGCTTCGGAGGGCGCCCCTGGTACGGCAAGGGCGGGGGCAAGACGTTCGCTCCTCGCTGCAGCGGCGGGGGCGCGCCGAGGCTTCGTGGATATGGTGGGGCAGATGAATGGGTTCATGGAACGGGCGCAGGCGCTGGGGGCCATGAGCACCCTCGGCGCGACCCTGGCCCAAGCGCAGCTGTCGCAGCAGCAGCAGCAGCCCGCGAGCTCAACCCAGCCTTCGGCCCAGCCGACCACGAGCCCGACCCCTCCAGCCCGCGAGATGGCCGAGGCCGCGATCACCGCCCTTGAGAGTCGGGAGCGCGACCAGCAGGGGGCTCGCCCGTCAGGCGACAGCCGCCTTCGGACGACGATCGACCGCCTCTCGACGATGGCGGGCGGCACGGCTCGCGATTCAGACACGTTCGAGGCGGCGCTGGAGGCCAGTGGGGCTTTCAAGCGCTTGCGGACGGAGAAGGGCACGCCCCCCAAGACGGTGGACGCCCAGGGTCGCCAGCTCGGCGGACCTCGGAGACGACGGCCGACGACTGCCGTGCGATGCGTGCCCTGCTTGAAGGCCGTGCTGTACGCGAGCCCTCCTCTCCGTGGACCCCCGCCGGCGGGAAAGGCGGCCGCCGTGGTCCCAAGCAGGGGGGGGGGCGTCGCCGACGACGGCGAGTTCGGCCCCTTGGCATCCGACCCGCCGGCAGGCAACCTCGCGAACCCGACGATGCACATTGGGCTCATCGGCTACCTGGGCGTGGGCAAGACCCGCTCCGACATGACCGAGCTCACCGACTCGCTCAACAACGACGCGAAGATCGCCTACGGCGAGTGGCGGAGCACCGTCAAGACGTGCAAGGGGATCGTGCAGCGGCGCGCGAAATTGACTTCCTTTGGTGCGACTTCGGAGCATGTAAAAACGGCCCAGTTCAAAGATATTGGCGAGTTGTTCTACGCTCAGGATCGTGGGCACCCGAACCCCGTCAGCAGATTAAGTTGTCCTGAACGGTTACCCCGAGGAGCCTGGAGGCGACGGCGACGGACTCAGGTGCCGCCACTGGCTCTTCTCTTACTCCCTCACCACCGACGGGAAAACCTGCCCCTCGATCTCTGCCCTCGTTATTGCCCCTACTCGCGCCGTGCGTCACATTGAATATGTGCGTTCTGGTGCTCTGGACAGCCTACCAAGCCGGCCTATTTGTGGAGCAACTTCGTCAGGTCACCGAGCTTGCCTGCGAGCGTGTCATGACTACGATGTTCTCTGCTCTCCCCCTAGCCTTTGGTGGTTGGGTCGCCTCATCGATGTTCGGGGTCCAGCGGGGGGTGCGCTGGAAAGCGGGTTTTGAGGCGGCTGCTCCGATGGCAGCAGCGGCAATTACAGACTCTCTAGTGACGTCTGGTCCAGTCCCGATGTCGTTGAATGCAGGGACGGCGTGGCTCGCTCGTGTTGCGGTGAGCTCAATATGGGCGGCCGTGGATTACTCACTTCATATCTAGCAATCAGACGGCCAACACCTTATGTATTCATTTTTTCGTGACAATACGCTGGTAGTAGTTCCCAGGTGTTCTGAAGAAGTCGGGTAGCACTGCTTGGGGTATCACGCCTACACCTTCCACCGCACCGTCCTGCTCTGAGGGCCCCTAAGCCTTGAGCCCTCAGTAATATGTTGCAGGCTGTGCCGCGTTCTTAATTCCGAGGCCTTTCGGGCACGAGCTCCGTGAGGGCCCCTGGTCACCCGCTGGGCCCCCTGGGCCTGACTGGTTCACCTGAACCCACGTGTTTAGGTTTGCTGGCTTGTAAATCCCTCCCTGCAGAAGTCTTGGGATGGTCTGTGTGTGCATGTGTGTGCGTGCGTTTTCTTAGTGCTTTCATCGTGCATGTTTTCAGCTCACCTCTGCAGTCAGTGCCGTGCGAGCCTCGCCTGCACCGACGCCAGCACCGACGCCAGCAGCTTTTTAGGTTTAGGCTAGCGCTCAAGCCCGCCACGCGCGGGCGCACACATGTGGGTCTGAACAGTTTGCTTTCCATGAGATGATAGCTTCTCCTGGAGAAAAGCTTGCTTGATTATGATTGTCAGTGCTTGTATTCAGATACTCACGAGCTTCGCTCACAACATCCTCGTGGGGATCAACGGCGTCTCGGGGGATGTCTTGGGCCACGTGCTGAAGTTCACGGATCTAGCATTTAGCACTTCAGCGAATGTGTGTGTGTGTGTGTGTTCGTTCGTAGCCCGCCCATAGCGGGGACACCGTATCCTCGCACCGTCTCATACCAGGCCGCACGCCAAGGCAAGCAATGCCGGCTGCAGTGGATAAGGGGGAGGCACGTGGGTGGGGCACGGTCCTCTGTGCGGCCACCCAACGCCAATATACACACCCCGCACACTGCTCTTGATGCACCCATCCACCAGGACCGGTCCCGTCCCGGAACTGGGCACACCGACACTCACGCGACACGCGAACAACCCGCGCCACCTCGGCGGGTGCCGCTGTCGGTTTTGGTGGGTGGACCAGCCCGTTCAGGGCGGTGTGACGGGGCAGCACCTGCACCACGCGACTCCACACAAGGCTCGCTGTAGCATGTGGGAACGCGGGTGGGTGAGAGACCGTGCTTGAGCCACACGTGTGTATGTATGTGTGTGTGTGTCTGAGCAGGGGAGGAAGGGGAATAAAAAGGCATCGAAAGTATTCCGAAGCCTCGAGAATGGTCTATCCAGGAGGGCCCTCGGTGAGACCCGCGACCAACGTCCCCATCCGGCGGCCGACTACGTGTAGCTCCGGCCACCAGCGCTGGAAAGTCGCACCGGCCGACGTAATTGCGGCCACACGCCACGGCGCTGCCATCCCTCCTGACCCGAACAGTGTGGTAGCCTCCGGCGGCACCTGCGTGTAGCCCAGGCCGTCCGCCAAGGCCGGAAGGTCGCCCCGGCCGTCGGAAATGTTTAGGCCACACGCCACGGCACTGCCATCGCACCGGGGGGGGGGGAGGCGACCGGGCGAGAAGAAGAAAAGGAGGGGGAGGAGCGCTGCGGCTCGCCGCTCCGCACAGCGCAGCACAGCCAGTGACAGGTGTGTGCGTGTGGGACGGCGCACGCAGGACCGCCATGTGAGCGGCCGTCAGCTGCTGTTTCGGCGGCCATCTGCGTGTAGCCTCGGCTGTCCGCCAGGCCGGAAGGTCGCACCAGCCGTCGTACTTGCGGCCACACGCAACGGCGCTGTGGCGGAAAGGGCCACCAATTCCACAACGAAGGATGCCACTTCAGCCACACCACACGTCTACGACTTGCTGTGTTCGGCGCACTGGTCCGCCGAGACCCGCGCCGGAGCAGCCAAGGGCGAAGCGACACGCGGCAGACCGACACCGTCCACGTTGTCGCTTGGGACGACTACCGTAGAGTCTACCCGTAGAGGTCACTGCGGTCTCGTCCGTGTCACCCGTGACCGAGACGCCCCTGGGATCGCTTTGGACTGGGCTTTCGAAACAGAGCAGCGTGGCCGTGCGCAACACCACGGGCAGCAGCACGACCCAACACAGGCTGTTGTGAGTCTGTGTACGCGCGGGTGCGTGCGGGACCAGGGGAGGAGGGCGGGAGGAGGGGAAGGGGGGGGAGGGAGAGAAAACGGACAAGTGTGTGCGGCCTGGGGCGCATCAAGGCGAATCGTTGGCCAAGGATGGCCCTGCGCCGCCGAAACCTGCGCTCCGTTGCTGTAGACACCGTCCGCGTTGCCGCCTGGGACTTCTACCGTGTAGGTCCACGTGACCTCGTACGTGCCAGCGGTGACCAGCACAGCACCGCGAGCGGCAGCACAACACAACACAGGCGGCAGTCCGTCAGTGTGCACACGGGTGCGTGCAGGGCAAGAGGAGGGAGGGGGGAGGGAAGGGGAGAAGCAAGGAGGAGAGGGGGAGGGACAGAAGGGGAAGGAGAGGACGCCGGGATCAACTAATCGCGGGCCGGGGCCGGCGCTCCCGGTGCAGAACCAATGGCTCCGGATTCCGCACCGCTACACATCACAGCGCAGCACAACGCGGCGAGGCCGCATGTGTGCGTGCGTGTGGCAGCACATCACAGCACATCACAGCACAACACAGCACAGCACAACACAACACAGCACAGCACAACACAGCACATCACAACACAGCACATCACAGCACATCACAGCACACGTCGCCTGACGTGCGTGTGTGTGTGTGTGTGTGTGTGTGTGTGTGTGTGTGTTTGTGTGTGTGTGTGTGTGTGTTTGTGTGTGTCTGTGCGTGTGCGTGTGTGTGTGTGTGTCTGTGTGTGTGTGTTCGCCCTCCCTCTGGGACTCTGGGAGGCTCCTCGTGGACCTGGCTGGGCGTCCTAGCGAGGTTCCGGCCAGAGTGCACCCCAGGGCAGCTTCTGCAGGGGGTGGGGGGCGGGAGGGGGCGATCTCTGGCCCCACTCTGATCTTCCTCCGTCCCTCGCAAGATTTTGTGCGCCGCTCCGCCACTGGTCTTTCTGGCGCGCGGCGGGCCCGAAGCGCTGTGCGCGACCGGCCAGCGAAGCAGCGCAGGGAGAAAGAGGTAGGATGGGGGATGGAAGGGGAGGAGGACGAATAAAAACGGAGGGGGGCTAAGCATGCCTAGGCAGGAGGAGATCGGGTCGAACAGGACGGAGGAAAATGACGACGAGACGGGAGAAGAGGGAGGCAGACGAGGGTGGGGAGAGAGATGGGATGGACGAGGAGGTACAGGGAAGAACCAAGGAGAGGAAGGGGGGGAGTGGAAGAAGAAAGGAAGAGCAGAAGGAGGAGGAGGAGGAGGAGGGCAAGTGAGAAGTGAGGAAGGACAAGGAGGGAGGACGCGGATAGGGTGAAAGATAGGGAGAAGCAACAACTGCAGGATGAGGAGGGACAAAGGAAGAGGACGGCGCGGGAGGACGCGGAGGCGGAGAGGTCGGAAATAAGCAAGTAGGTGTGGAAGGGCAAGAGGGGGCAGTAGGGGAAACAGGGAATACTGAGGAGATGAGGGGGGAGAGGGGGGGAGCGAAGGGAGGGGAAGAGAGGATAGGGGGGTGGGCGGGAGGATGGCGAGCATGACGACGACGACGACAACGACGACGACGACGACACGTCAACGACGACGACGACGACCAGCGACGACGACAACGACGACGACGACGACGGCGACGACGACGACGACACTGACGATGGCGGTGGCAAGGGCTGTGGCGGCGGCGGCGGCCAGGGGGGCCCTACATGTAGTGGCATAGCAACGCGCCAATGGGAAGGGGGAGGGGGGAGGATGCGGCCTTCTCTGGAAGGTGTCGGGGGCCTCTGAGAAGGGCTTCCCCATAAAAGGTCGAGAGTGCCGTCCTCAAAGAGGAATGAACGGAATATCTGTGGACACTTATCTGTTTCGAACGAACGAAATGTATTCGAAAAACATGGGTACGACGCCCAACTACACATGTTGTCGAAAACCGAGGCCGCTGTTGGGCAGCTGGCCGTTTGTTTCAAAATGATCATTTTTGCGGAGACACCGACAGCGAATCCTGCGGTTTTCGTACCCATGCTGCTTCCGTGCCCATGTTATTCACACAACTCTATGAGGGCGAAGAAGGCAGACTGCCACGAAGGAGAGGGATCCTCCATGGCGAAAAGAAGGATCTTCTCTCGAACGGGTCGGAGGCAGCCTTCGGGGGGGTACCCCTAGCAGGGTGGGAAAGCTCCCCGACGCTCAGCCGGACGGCGCCATGGACCCGGCGGGCAAGAGCTGGCTGAGGGCGCCCTCGCGCACGCGGGGGCTCCCCTCCTCCTCCTCCTCCTCCTCCTCCTCCTCCTCCTCCTCCTCTTCCTCCTCCTCCTCATCATCATCCTCCTCGTCCTCTTCCTCCTCGTCCTCCTCCTTCTCCAGCTCCAGCTCCTCCTCCTCCTCCTCCTCCTCGTCCTCGTGCTCGTCCTCGTCCTCCTCCTCCTCTTCCCCGTCCTCCTCGTGCCCCTCCTCGTTTCATTCCTGTCCCTTGTAAACAACCCGGGGACGTACCCAACCCTTCTAAGCATCTGTCGAGTATGCATCGGATCGCTCTGTAAGAACAACAACATTGAATGATCCGCAATGCGCTTGAACGCTTTGACAAAGAACGCCGGGCCAGACTCGGATGTTCCACGCATCGTCACGCTTAAGACTCAGGTCGTTGGCAGGAGAGCGACCACGAGGGGCGTGGAAACATGCAGAGGGGGGGCGATTGGAGACATAATTCGTGGGAGTAGCAGCGCCTTGCGCTGTGCTCGCATTGCAAGACAGCGTTCTGCGCGCCAAGAAACGACAGCGCCTAGCGCTAAACGTAGCATGCGCCCGCATGCATTACAAACAACTGGCAACTGAATAGGGGATGCGGCACGGGCAACGAACGGCGCCATGCGCTAGTCGCTGCGCGACCCCCCAAAGATAAGCGAGGTCTCATGGGGATCCGCGTGAGACGTCACTCCGCTGGCCCTCCCAAAACCCCACGAAAATGGCGACGGCTTCGCAGATCGCAGCCCCCCAGCGGACGGCGAGGTTCCGTGGTGATCTGCGTAGGACGTGCCTCCGCTGGCCCCCCAGAAACCCACGGAAGTGGCGACAGCTTCGCAGATCGCAGCCCCCCAGGCGACGGAGAGGTCTCTTGAGGATCCGCGTGAGGCGCACCTCCGCTGGCCCCCCCCAGAAGGCCACGAAAGTGGCGACAGCTTCGCAGATCGCAGCCCCCCAGGGGACGGCAAGGTCTCGTGGTAATCTGCGTGGGACGTACCTCCGCTGGCCCTCCCAGGAGCCCACGAAAGTGGCGACAGATTCGCAGATCGCAGCCCCCCAGGGGACGGCGAGGTCTCTCGGTGATCTGCGTAGGATGTACCTCCGCTGGGCCTCCCAGGAACCAACAAAAGTGGCGACAGTGTCGCACATCGCAGCCCCCCCCCTGGGGATGGCGAGGTCTGGTGGTGACCTGCGTAGGACGCACCTCTGCTGGCCCTCCCAGAAGCCCGCGAAAGTGGCGACAGCTTCGCAGAACGCAGCCCCCAAGGAACGGCGAGGTCTCGTGGGGATCTGCGTTGGACGTACCTCCGCTGGCCTCCCCAGAAGGCCACGAACGTGGCGACCGTTTCGCAGATCGCAGCCCCCCAGGGTGGCGACGAAGTCTCGTGGTGATCTGCCTAGGACGCACCTCTGCTGGCCATCCCAGAAGCCCACGGAAGTGGTGACAACTTCGCGAGGTATCGTGGCGATCTGCGCATCACGTCACTCGGTTGGCCCTCCCTGGGGCCAACGAAAGTGGCGACGAGCTCGCAGATCGCAGCCTCCCAGGGGACGGCGAGGTCTCGTGGTGACCCCCGTAAGACGCCCCTCCGCAAGACCTCGTAGGAGCCCACGAAAGTGGCGACAGGTTAGAAGATCGCAGCCCCCCAGAGGACGGCGAAGTCTCGTGGTAATCTGCGCGGGACAGGGGCCCACGGAACTGGCGACAGTTTCGCATATCGCAACCCCTCATGGGGACGACGAGGTCTCGCGGTGATCCACTTAAGACACCCCTCCGCTGGACCTCCCAAAACCCAGCGGAGAGTGGCGACAAGTTCGCAAGTCGCACCCACCCCGGGGACGGCGAGGTCTGACACCCCTCCGCTGGACCTCCCACAACGCCGCGGAAAGTGGCGCCGCTGTCGCAGACCGCAGCCCCCCAGGGCACGGCGAAGTCTCATGGCGACCCCCGTGAGACACCCCTCCGCTGGATCTCGGGGTCGTATTTGAGCGCACCGTGAGCGCGCATGCGGGGCTGTACAAGATACTGTCCATTAGTTCCGCCGATGTCACCATGGGGCAGATGACCGCCTTTTTTTCTGAGCCAACGGTTGGCGTGACGGTGTCGCTCGCGTCCTTCTTGAAAGAGTGGGCGTCGCGCAAGAGCAACATGCCTTTTTGCAGTGCTGATGTCTACAGGAGCGTGCGTTTCGGCGCATCCCCTGATGATGGCGGGTGAGTTGCGTTGCGCCGTGTTTAAAACCATCAACAATGTCGAATCGACTGCCGATGATGGCACGCTGTTGCAATACGGCCTTACCCTCAGCGTCGGCGTTGCCGCCCAGACGATTGAGACGGGCGAGCTCGTCCTTGCGCCGTTCTCTGAGCTGAACAAGACCAGGGCAGAGCCGTCTGAAGGCGCTGTCCAGGTCAAGCGCGGGTCCGCAGTGCTATACGTATCGCCGCCAACGAGGGCTACGGACCAGAAGAAAGAGGATGCTTCAGATGCGTTCTACATTCCTTCTTGGTGGGTTCGGGGGACGGACACAGAGGACCTTGCCAACGTTGCCTCCGTCCAGCAGAACACCGTCCACAGCAACTTTAAAGCTTACAAAAACACCAAGACCTTGCAACAATTCGACAAACTGACTGCTCGTTAACAAGGCCAGGGGGCACCATGCGCCGCTGCAGTCTGCAAAGAGGGTCAAGTTTTCGGAGGGGAGTGTCAAGCCCAAGGCCAAGGCTAAGGCCAAGAAGTAGACGTGCCCCCCGAGCGCTGCCGAGCAATTGTTCATGCCGACGCTCGCAGCGCGGCCACCATTTGCACGCCATTTAATGGCGCATTGCACGGTGCCTCCAACGACGTGCGAATGGCGCAGGTTAAAAGCGCCATGCGTCGCACAATGCATACAGATGCCACGCTTTATACACGTTTTACATTAGATGCAACGACCATGTGTGTTTGACGGGCATGTCAACTAGTCATGTCCGCCGCAGGCCTGCTGGCGGGAGAGGCGCCGATGAAGCCATAGGGAGGGATAGACGAACATGGATGCTCATCGTCGCATCCCTCGGCAGCAATCGGTCTTCCTTTGAAACCCATCCAACCGCGCTCATCATCTCCCCCCTCTACCTGTTCTCTGTTGTTCTCGTCCCTTATACCAATATTTCCTGTCGGGTCATGTCCCCATCCCTCTTCACCTTATCCCCCCTGGGCGGCCTGGACAAGTAAAACCACGTGGTTCCAGTTCGGGAAAATCATGTTAGATACCCCATGGGTGGTGTGGACACATTAAAACACACAGTTCCAGCACAGGACCACCATGTTAGATACCCCCCTGGGTGGCCTGGACACTTGAAATCACGCGGTTCCAGCGCAGGACCACCATATTAGATACCCCCCTGGGTGGCCTGAACATGTAAAAAACATGATTCCAGCTCGGGACCACCATGTTAGATACCCCCCTGGGTGGGCTGGACACGTGAAAACACGTGACTCCAGCTCGGGACCACCATATTAGATACCCAAGCTCGGGACCACCATGTTAGATACCTCCTGGGTGGCCGTTTCTGTGAATTGGTCGGGTCTCCAGACCTCATTATTTCTATTGGATTCCGCACAAAACGCGCCGCCCCCTCCTTTTTACGAAGGACAACGGTGGTCTGCGGATCCTGTTATTCATGGAGGATCCGAGATGGGGGGCACACTTTCTTCGAGCGGGCACGCGAAAAACGCACTTGTTCAACTGCAAATTCACACGTCACCTCGAAATTTATGACAAAACCATTCCGCCGGCCTTGCAGCCGTCGGGGCGGGGGGGTACACCTCTAAAAGAGAACCCTGGGCCGACGCCCTTTCCGGGAAAAACGCATGGTCCGAGCTCGAGGCCACCATGTTAGATACCCCCCTGGGTGGCCCGGGCAAGTAAAAATACGTGGGTCCAGCTCGGGACCACCATGTTCGATAGATACCTCCCTGGGTGGCCTGGACACGTGAAAACGCATGGGTCCAGCTCGGGACCACCATGTTCGATACCTCCTGGGTGTCCTGGACACGTGAAAACACGTGGTACCAGGCCACCCAGGGGAGATATCGAACATGCGGTCGTCTGGAGCGCAGAAGGGCCCAGAAATGCCTGGAGGCGCCCGGAAGCCAACATGATTTGCCCACGATCCTAGAAAGGAATATATATATATATATAGATATATATATATGTATATCCGTCGATCCGGCGTGTGAGTTTCAGAAAGCTACTACCTGAGCTTCAGCTCTGCTGGGGGGGGCCGACGTGGCTCTGCCGGGGTAGGGGGGGGAGGGGGGGGGTTCATGGGGTCCACCCTTTCTTTCCCCCCCCCCCGGGAATCCCAAACCGCCCCAAGACGGGCCAAAAGGGGCCCAGGAGGCCACCAAGACGGTCCAAGAGGCGCCCGAAACGGCCCAAGAGCGCTCCTGGACGCCCAAGATGGCCTGAAGACGGCCCAAGAGGCCTCCAAGACGCCTCAAGGAGATCCCAAGAGGACCCCCAAGAGGGCACCAAGAGGATACAATCATAAAGTTGCGAATAGGTTTTGAAGCATTTTAACATTATCGCCTTTTCCGTCTAGAAGCGTCGAAGACGGTCCAAGAGGCCCCCAAGATCGCCCCAAGACAGCCCAAGAGGCCCCCAAGAGGGACCAAGACGATCCAAGAGGGCCCCAATATAGCCCCGGAGGCCCCCCAAGACGACCCCGAGAGGCCCCCAAGATAGCCTCAAGAGGGTGAATCCGAACGGACCCTTCTAGTCCTCCACCCCAAGATGACCCCAAGAGCCCCCAAGATGCCCCCGAGGCGCCCCCAAGGGGCCCCCAGAGGCCCCCAAGAGGTCCCCAAGAGGCCCCCAACAGGACCCCGAGAGGCCCCCAAGAGGCCCCAAAGGCCCCCAAGAAGCCCCAAGAACCAAGAGGCCCCAAGAGGCGCTCACTCGCGTGCTGCCAGGCCAGAGGTGCACGACCTGACTTGGTATTGCTCGGAAGCG